GCTCTTCGACCAGATCTCCGGCCGCTTCACCTCCGCCTTCTACTTCGACGCCGTCCCCTCCGTCGCCCTCTCCAACCCCCCTCCCCCTCCCGCTGCTTCTGCTGCTCCTGCCGCCGCCGACCCTGCCGCCGACCAAGACCAACAACCCATCGCTACCCCCAAACCCGCCGCCGTCAACCCGCCCATCTGGGGCTACCGGGAAAAGTTCGTTCAGCACATGACCCCCGGCGAGCTGAAAACCTTCATCGACACCAAACTCGTCCCCCGGAGAGCCGAATTCCAAGAGTTCGCAAAGAAATGGGAACCGAATCAACGTTCCTCGACCCCCACCGCTGCCCCACCCCTCGAGCAGACCGCGCCCAAAGACCCCAGCTCGGAAGATGCCGCCCTCGCAGAAAACGCGCAACCCTCAGCGTCCCAGAGCTCCGATCCACAGCAGCAGCAGCAGCAGCAGCAGCAGCTATCCTTCCCTGCATTCCAACCGAATTTCACGGTGGAGCCCATCCCTGACGTCGTCAAAGGAATGCGCCATGACCCAATCACATCCGTCAACTACGTTCGAGCTTTCCTCCAAATCCCCCTGCGCCAGGCCCCCATGACCACCCATCCCTCGGGCGGTCTCTACTACATCCTCGACCCATCCTATCTGGAAAACCATCCCGAGCATGGGCCCACAGGCGACCGATTGATCCCCGCACGCCTCATCCACAAGCTCGATCTCAAGTTGGCCGACGCCTCCTGGCGCAGGCGGTCGTTCTACCTCGTCGGCGGCTTCGTCATATACGCCGCCCAGGACGTCATCAACAGAATAAACTCCGAGAGGTCCTCCAACATCACTCGCACCCTCAACCTCACCCCCATATCCGCAGACATGGACCAGTCGGGCAAGATACGCATCGAGTTTGACCACATCGCGCCTCAACAGTTGTTCGTCAAACTCATGGAAGCCACCGGGAACAGAATCCGGAATCAGGTCGAAAGCGGCAGAGGCGATCTGGCAGCCGTGAGGGCCGCTGGAAGCCCCCAACAGTACCAGCAGGAGTACTCGGGGACACAGTCTCCGTTGACGGACAGGAGCGGCAGACCACCACCCGGCACCATCGAATACCCCAATGGGCTGCTCGGCCTGTTGGGCCAGCTGATAGAAGCCGGCCGCGACGACCCCAGCCGAGACTCGTAATCAACAGCAGGCAGCACATATATATATACTTGATGTTGTCCGCCGCATTTCCGGGTGAATTACCTCCGTCTCTCTGTACATATATTCAACGACGTAGATCTATACCGTACTATGTATCCATTATGTAATAATGCATCGTACGCTGTGTGTATATATACCAGCACATGGATGCATAGCCAAGTCTTTTCTTGCTCGTGTATATATTTTTATATCCTATATACAAGTAAATACCTATATCTTATATGCAAATATAAATACCTAAGGGAGAGAGAGTGTGTGTATACTCTGTCTGCTCTGCGACAATTATACAACCATGATGGCTGTGTTGTTTCGCGGTGCGTGGATGGCGGTGGTGGCGTTAGTAAGCGGCGTGCATGCTCTGCTTGCTTGCTCCGCCCGCCGTGGCAGCAGAAACAACAACCTCCGCTCCTCGTCCACGCATAGCACACGCAGACCGTATCTCCAACCTCCACTCGCTGCTGCCTCCCGCATCCTTCGTACTCTCAGCTGTCGCCGAATACCGATCCTGGGCGTCCTCGCACCTTCTCGGCTCAGGCCTCTAACGCCTCTCAAACCGCTAAATCCCCCATAGCGATCCCACGCTGGTCGCTTTTGTTCCCGCAAACAGGGTAGAGTTAGCTCGACAGCAGGAGGCTGCTTCTTCTGCTGCATCCTCCATCGCACCCTACATATAAACTACCTGCTGCATCAGCGGACGAACTCGAGTTCCCCATCGCCTTTTCGCAAAACCTCACCGGCTGCATAATACAACTAGAGTTATATATATACATATATCTATCAGCAACAATGTCGTGGAAGCTCACAAAGAGTAAGTTCGCCGACACGAATTGCGATTGGAAACCCTGGAATTAGGGGGTGATTTCCCTCTCACCGCTTGTTTCCATTCGCACCACTCCCCGGCCAGCCTTTTCGCCGTAGCAGCTATATATGATGACGGCTCTTCAATTCACTCCCTTCCCTCCCCTTCCGAATAAACCCCCCCTTATGTCCAGTCGGTCTCAGAAAACTAATCTACGCCGTTCTTCCTTCGCCAAAACCCGCAGAGCTAAAGGAGACTCATCTCACCCCCCCAAATCCGACCTCTGCCACCTCGCGGTCTTCTTCAACGTCGACAATCACCCCTGCCTCCCTAAAGGCATCGCCCACCCCATCTTCAATAGATTCAGCCATGCCCGGAAATACCCATGTCACCTCGACCGTCAAGCCCGGCTTGCTCATCTTCACCCTCTATGAAGCCAAAGGCCTGACCCTCCCAAACATCCCCACCACCCAAGCCGGCCTCAATCCGGGTGCTGCCGGTTCATTGAACTCCATGCGTCCCGCCTCTTCGCAGGCCCGTATGGCAGGCTCGGTGGCCGCGGGCTCTCGCCCCGGCACCTCTTCATCTCGGCCGGGCACCGGCTACAACCATGTCGGCGGAATCCACCCTCGTTATCTACCGTACTGCGTTGTCGAGTTTGACAAGTGCGAGGTTTTCCTCACCGCATCCCCTAGGTCGTCCGCTCCAACATCTCCGACGTACGATGCGCCCAGCAATCAATACAAGTTCGACGTCTCGCGAGAGACAGATCTCACCGTCCAGCTTTACCTCAGAAACCCAACCAGCACCGGCAACAACAGAGAGAATGACTTCTTCCTCGGTAGCTGCAAGGTACAACCTCGTTTCGAGGAAACGTCAAGTCAGCAAACCACCTCTGCTAAATCCAAAGCTTCCGCCCCGACCACACCGCTACCGGTCCACGCTGGTATCGACTGGGTCAACCTGGGTTTCGGGAGCGGGAGCGTCAAAATCGGACTCGAATACGTTGCAAACCCGGTATGAATGCACCAATCAATTTCTTTTGAAGGGCTTGCGACATTTGCTTACATTCATTGGCCTGCCGGTCCGTTTAGAGCAAACCCCTCACAATTGAAGACTTTGATCTGCTCAAAGTCGTTGGCAAGGGGAGCTTCGGGAAAGTTATGCAAGTTCGGTAGGTTCTATAACAATGTGAATATCCCTCCTCGGTCTTCACTCCAGCTAACCATCATCCGGTGACACCAGGAAGAAGGATACCTCGCGGATATACGCTCTGAAGACTATCAGAAAAGCTCATATAATCAGCAGGGCCGAAGTGACCCATACCCTGGCTGAAAGGACTGTTCTTGCACAGATTGACAACCCTTTCATCGTGCCGCTGAAGTTCTCATTCCAATCGCCCGAGAAGCTGTACCTCGTCTTGGCGTTCGTTAACGGCGGAGAGTTGTTCCATCACCTGCAAAGAGAAGGACGATTCGACATCAATCGGTCGAGATTTTACACCGCGGAGCTTCTCTGTGCTTTGGAGTGTCTGCACGGTTTCAATGTCATCTATCGAGACCTGAAGCCTGAAAATATCCTGCTCGATTACACCGGTCACATCGCGCTGTGTGACTTTGGTTTGTGCAAGCTGAATATGAAGGAAGATGACAAGACGAACAGTGAGTACAGCTACCAGACCAATCTCGCATATGAAATTGATATTAACCCGAAAATATAGCCTTCTGTGGTACTCCCGAGTATATTGCCCCAGAGTTGCTTTTGTCGCAAGGCTACACCAAGACCGTGGATTGGTGGACGCTAGGTGTTCTGCTCTACGAGATGTTGACAGGACTGCCCCCCTTTTACGACGAGAACACCAACGAGATGTACCGCAAGATCCTCCAGGATCCTTTGGTGTTCCCTGGGCCTGAAATCGTTCCGCAGGACGCCAGGGACCTCTTGGAAAAGCTCTTGAACAGAGACCCCACTAAGCGGCTGGGTGCCAATGGGGCGGCCGAGATCAAGAACCACAAATTCTTCGACAGCATCGATTGGAAGAGACTGGTGCAGAAGAAGATCCAGCCAACTTTCAAACCAGCTGTGGTATGTATTCCTTCCGTGTTGTGCAAGTCGATCATCCCGCTAACGGCGTTATCCAGGAAAACGCGCTCGACACGACCAACTTCTCTCAGGAATTCACCGGTGAAGCGCCTGCGGATAGTGTTATCGAAGGCGATGCCCGCCTCTCCGACAGCGATCAAATCCTGTTTGAGGGTTGGAGTTGGCGTGGGCAGGGTATGCCGGGCCAAGAAGGCAACATGTCCATCAAGGATCCGTACAAGGGCAACGGCCATGCTTAAGGTTAAAGCTTTGGTTTCGAACATCTTGGGGCAGAGTTGCCGTGTTTTGTGTCATCCGGGGGATCTATAGTTTTATATTTCTTTGGGGGGTTCCACTTTCGGGTATACCTATATTTATCTCTTCCATTTGCTCATTCTCTTAGGTTAGGTCGCATTTGCAGCACGGAAAATTTTTAGTTGACGGACAGGTCGTTTGTGTTGGAAGCCATCCTTTTTGTTTTCTCGATTGCTTGGAATGCGGTTTATCTGGGATAGCGGCAAGATTGGGTTGGTGGACAAACCAATTACTTTTATGACTTATAGCAGCATCATCATCATATACGGCAGCAATGTGAGGGGCTCATCTAGTAGCCTCCGCCAGAATATCATCAGCATAGTATTCTATAGAACCCACATTACTCATAGATTTGTACAGAAGCTTGTGTCGTAGCTATCACATATCCCAGGAGAAGAGCCTCAGCGCCGACGAACATCGATCAAAAGTACGAGTCTTCAAAGCCACGCAGCTGAAATATTGCCAATATACGTGAAGCTACAGGCCCTCCGACTGCTCTTTCAAAGGCAGCCGCTTTGCACCTACTGTCCAGTCTACGGGGCTAAAAAGCGGTAGCAAAAAGAATACCAGGAAAGTCTTGAAAAAAACCCAAAAAAGAAAAATCGACCACGGCAAGACTCGAACTTGCACCCTTTGCTTATCTAAGCGGAGAATAGGAGAGCAACGCGCTACCATTGCGCCACGAGGCCATACAAGTGAGGGACGAATTCTCAAAAATATAATCATAAAGCGTATTGAAATACCGACGGCAAAGCAGAGATATCCAGTGAACTCCATCCTTCAATGTCGGTACGTGCTCTACGCCGCCAGAATCGAGTTGTGCTTGAGTTCCTCGGCGCCCAAAATATATATAACTCAGCAATTTCTGTGTATACGTGCATAGGCCAATAATGGCATATACAATAGCGTATTCAACCTACTCGCGCTTGCGCATGTTTGGAGATATACTGCATATTCTCGGAAATCGTTCGCTAGGCCAGAAAAACCGGACAATGATACAAGTTGGAAATCTATACACGCATCAAAGACCACGATAACCCCTCGCCAATGCTAATCGATAATGCTATAATCTTCACAATCCGGTCTGTCCGAGTCTAATGACTGACGGCCTCTTCGCCCATGAACACCACGTAGATGCAAACAACCGAACCGAGAACGCCGAGGTGGATCGATCACCTACGAGGCCGCGAACTCCACATACGTGCCGAGAAACTGAATGAGCGTCTCTTCTAATGCAATTTTAAACGATCCCAGGCGCTGGGTGACGACTTCGATGCTCCATGCGCCGCTGTTGCCATCCGCCTTCAACGTATAACCGGCGATGACCTGGCGCCGTGGAGGCTTCCACCCTGGGGCTCCCGTATTCTTCGCCAGCCACTCGGCCTGCGCTTTCTCACCCGCGATCTTCAGCACCAACGATTCGTCCTCCTGCACGTACAAGTCGCAGTTGTCACATTCGGTACAGGCTGTACCGGGTACCTGTCGGAAATGCTGGCAAAAGTGCTTGTAACCGATGCCGTTTAGGTCCGCCCGGCAGACGTAGCACATGACATACCCACAGACGCAGGTCAACCTGTTGCAACCATCTGATTTGACGAAAGACGTGCCGCACGTCGGGCACTATGGAAATGGCAAAGTTAGCATTGTAAGTCTTCTTAATGCTGCCTACGGGGTTTCGAGAGCCTTACCGTTCGTTTTATGGCAGCAGCCATGGCGTTTTCGACACACAGTCTGAGCGCCTCCTCCTCGTTCTCGAAGCACTTGTGAAATGGCTTCCATTCCTTGCCGCAGTCTCTACAGCTCTTCTTACCGCAGACAGTCGGATTTCGGCATTGGAACATCTGCTCCCGTTGCTTCTCAAACTGCTGCTTGACGGCTCGCTTGGTCAGATCCAAGAGGATGTCCTCCAGGTAAACTGTCTGGTGAGCCGAGATGACCTCGAACATATAAATGTAACACAAAGCGAGCAGCATTGCCGTGGCAGGTATCAAGACTATCGAGGGGCTGGCGGATAAGAGAATGAATGCCAAAGCCGCCGTTGCATACGCTGCTCCCTTCCGGACCGCCCAAGTTGGTATTTCATCGGCTTCCGCGTACATGCAGAAGGGGCACTTTGCCATGGGCAATCCGCAATGAGCGAGATCGTCCTCGGTGAACTTGTCCTCCATCGCGCGAAACATTTCCTCGGGAAGGGCCTGCGACACCAGGTCTAGTGGTATGTAACCGTCACAGGGTGGATCGGCAACAGAGGACAGGCACCGCAGTGATCCTTTTTCCTTGACCAAGCTCGTAGTTTGGCCGTACACGCCCTCTTTAGCCGCATTCACAACGCAGGTGTGGCAGAACAAGTGGCCATGGCAGCATGCAGACATCATCTCGAAGGCGTAGTCACCGAAGCAGCATTCACATTCAAGCAGTGCGCCGGCTTCCTCGTACTGCTTTTCGTTGAGGTCCTGTGCGATCGCCAAATCTGACGAAGCTTGTCGTGCGCGATCCGCATGCCCCAACTCCCACAGTTCGTCGTCAAGCTCTTTGCAACCCGTAGCAACGATCCTGGGCATCGCTCTCGGTTCCTCGGACTTTGGACGAAGTGAAAGCCATGAGGCTATCTTGGACCGCCAGGACTTCTTGTTGATATCGATGAGAATCGCCCGCGATTTCATGTAGTGATTGTTATTCTCGGCCATGACGGCCAGGATAGTGGACCGCGACAGGCTCTTGAACTCTTTCCGTCTGCAGATCACCATCAGCAGTTGTCCACTCAGAAGAGCGTTCGTAGGAAGGACGCGTCATCGAAGCCAGCAAAAGCTTACAGGTTGGACTCCACCGCTTTAATGTACTCGTTGCTGCGAAACCTCGCCCAGGGCTGCAGCGTCCCGTTGTTGCCAACATTGTGCTTCAACTTACGTCCCATCTGGGACTGCTCGAGGAGCATTTTGAGTTGTTCGGAGAGCTCGATACGCTCTTGGAATTTGGAGTTTATTCGATAACGCAGGTCTCCGGGATCCGCGTCGGGGAAGATTTCGTGGAGGGTTTCGAGGCACTGGTTTCGCATCCGGAGGGAGGCATCGCGGGGTGCTTCGGTGGATGCCATCCCGGTTTGAAGAGGATCCGAACGGGGATAGACCGAACGGGTACGCCTGGCGGACTCAGGCTATCTCAGAAGTTTAGTTTGACTGCCACCTGAAAGCACGAGAGGGGCGGCTGTCATTGCACGAGGCTACCGATGGCGCACGGCATGCTCTCCTGGAAAAGCCTGGGGAGAGCGGATATGGGAGATGGAGATGGAGGACTACAGGAGACTGAAGGAGCAGACACGGCTGACAAGAAAGAAGAAGAGTTGATTGACAAAAAGAAGGCTGCAGAATATTACATAATCGGGCACCCAACTGGCGACACGGCAACACATCTCACGATGCCTGCAGCGACTGCATCAGCTGCAGATAGAAATCCACCCCGCGCGTTCTCTTAAAGTTCATTTCGTCTCGGAAGATGGGCGGCAGCACGGCCAGCAGCCGTTCGTCGCGCCCTCTTTCGAGCATCGGGTTGTATGTAAAGTACGGCCCGTCGTCCTCGTCCTCATCCTCGTCTTCCGCATCCAGCTGTAGTTTGAAGTGCAGCGCTACAGGTCAAGAAGGAAAAGAAATTAGCGATAGCCCCCACTAAGCTTTTGAATCTGACTAAACGATATGGGTAGATATATGCGAGCTTACCACCATTCCTGCCTGTTGATAGGCAGTCGTACTCGATGCCGCCGTCCTCATCATTCTTGACGTTCAGCACGATCAGGCCGCACAGGTCAGAATACAGATTGTCTCTGTGCTGCGAGAATTCTTTTGTAAAGGCTGCACTGCCGCTCGCCTTTGCAGTGTTCGAGGGCGGTTTGGCTTGGTTCCGTGCGGCCTCCAACTTGGCACTCAGGATGGCGTGGTCCTGAACAAGTCGCTCGATCTTCTTCTCCATGATTGTGTTCTCCTGTTCGAGCTGTTCGATTCGGGCGTTCTTCTGCAGCAGCGTCTGATGCGCGATCGACTTAGCTTCGAGTTCCGCCTTAAGGTTATCGATGATCCGTTGCGCCGCTGTGCCAATCAAATAGAGCATTAGACCCCAGGTAAGTAAACTCTGGCGGGGACCACCAACCTTTGTCTTGCTGTTGGAATGCTAATATCTGCTCCTTGTGGATAGCCTCTGCTTCGTCTATTTTGAGGTGCCGTAGCTTCTGATACCTTGCCCTCAACTGCTCCAATTCCTCTCTATAAGATTGCTCTTCAGAACTTCGAATGGGAGCCGGTTTCCGTGAACCAGCTTGTGGCTCGTCTTCCTGCTCGCCTAGTGCGCTTTCAACGTCTTCATCTTCGCCTTCGTCTTCAATCCTTGAGCCGACCTGCGTCTCGGGAATCTCGGGCCCAGGGTCCACAGCCTTCTTGCGAGACGGGGCAGCCCTTGAGGACTTTGTGGCTCTTCGTTTTGCTGGCGGGGCATCAGCATCCGGTAGATCGGTTTCGCCGTCTTCTTCTATCTTCGTCAGAACACCATGTGACCCTCTCTTCCTCCTCTTCATGCCAGTCTCTGCAACGGCCTGGCGAGGGGTGTCGTCCACTCTGCCCCCTCTCGCCTTGGCCGAAGATTTTGCGCCAGGTTTTGTCTTCGCTTTTGACATTGTTTCGTCAGTGTTGGTTTGGGTATCGATTACGCGGTTCGGTGTGGCCGCAGAGATAGACTGCTTTCGCGGTCTGCCCCTGCTTTTCTTTATGGCAGAAGATTCGACGGAAGCGGCGGGCTTAGAGGCAGGTTTCGTGTCGCGTTCGTCGTCGGATGATGAGAAGGGCGAGGAGGCCAAATGGGAGGCCAATGATGTTTTTGGAGCTCGTCGAGGAGGCATGGTGGCGCGATGGGGCGGAGGGATGATAGACAGCAGTTGTCGCGAAAGCAGGTGGATTGAGGCGGGTGGGTTGTGTATCGCAGGCAACTGCGCGCGTGGTGTTTTGTTGTTGTTGTTGTTGTTGTCCCATGTTGTGGATTGGACGCGGTCGGCGTGTGTTGCTTCATGTGTTGTCAGATGGCGGCCGCGTTGGGCGTTTGACCAGCGGCAGTTTCCCGAAGCAGCCGGGCGGCGGCCGTGCTATCGATAATAACCTCCGCGCAACACTTGGCCACCCCGCTGGCTGTTTACTCTACCAGCAGTATACTGTATCAATCAAGTGCCCGATATACGTAACCTGCTGCCCAGATGCAGATAAAATGGTTGTGTATCACATTATCAACATACGGCCCGATGTGTAGAACATCGATATCACCACTCTCGCTCATCTGCACTCAAGAACTTGACATAGATTTGACTATGGGAACTAGCCGTTGTCTAAGCAGGTTGCTGTCGGCCATGGAGTTTTTACCCGGGGCCCAGGGACAGCTGAATTGGCTGCCCTGCATCAATACAAGTTCAAGCCAGCGCCTGCATGCGGCCTGAACGGGCTCCGTCGCATCGCCGTAACCCGGATCTCATCCAAAGGCCTTAGTGCTGCTGCGGAGGGACGTTAGGCCAATAACAACAATGAGTATAACAGCAGCATTTACAGCAGTAGCAGCAGTAGCTACTAGTAGCAGCGGAAGAACGGCTATCGAAGGTGCATTATTATTGTAATTGATAGCATAGCATTTCTTTATAGGAGTACAGTAGGCATCTAAGCAA